ATAATATACAAAGTGTGTATATTGCAAAACAACCTGAAATATAAATATTATTGTTATTATTATTATTATTATTAGTAGTAGTAGTAGTAGTAGTAGTATTAGTATTATTATTAGTATTATTATTATTATCAATTCTTATTATGTTAATTTAACTTTGTCATTCTGATTTCACTCATTCTGTTTATCGTTTGTACATTTGGTTTTTTTTTTATTCATGATCTTGTTGTTCACAACTTGATACAGTTGAATTACTTATAGATTGACGTGACACAAGCTTTCACGTCGTAAAACAAGATTGCCTTCATTATGGAATCTCTGTACACCGATGATGACAATGGGATCTAGCAATGGCTATTTCAAATAAAGTATTCATGCTTTGCCTGACATGATCGTTATCAAAAGCATTGTCATATTTTTGAATTGTATTAGTTATTATTATTATCATTTATTATTACTATTATTGTTATTATTTTTATTATTATTAATTTTTATTAGTTTTATTGGTGGCGCATCACATTGCCCTTTGTTTCATTTCGTTTGCTACTGCCTTGGTTTTATTGGTATTCGCGTTTATGACCCAATGAAGAAATGATTAAATTTTGGTGGCGGTCCGGAGTAGGGTGTGGATGTGAGGACCAATTAAAAAGATTTAAGAGCAAACACTCTACACAAGATATTTCAAAAACTTGTCAACTTATCTTAATGAAAGTTAAAGTAGTGAAGGCTTAACAAAGTTACAAGGAAGAAAGTATTAAGTTTTCGTGACGATCATAATTCAAATGTGAATTTGAGGGTCATTTAAAATGCTAAGGTTCCAGACCTTAATATCTTTAGAATAATCACTGGATCTAGATTTCCCTTTCCACAATGGTTTGTCATGTTTTAATGAAAAAAATGTTTTAATTCTGGTAACCATCCAGAGTAAGTAGGATATGAAGACCGTTCAAATGAAAACGTCCCAGACCAGATATTTTAAAATTAATGAACTGATCTGAATGAAACTTTCCTGACTGTTCAACCATGTTACAAGGAAAAAAGTGTTGGTGATGATCCAAATTCAGTTTTGCGTGTGAAGGTTATTAGGCGCCAGACCTAAATATCTCTGAAATGGATCAATGGTTCAAAATGACGCTTTTCAGAATAGTTTGTCATGTTTCAATGTAGAAGAGTCACGATCCGAAGTAGGGTGTGGATATGAAGACCATTTAAAGCTGAGGTTTACCGTATACCGTATACGCTGATACCAATAGCTGTGTGATGAATATTCAAATTAGCGTAGTTACAGTTAATGTATAAAGCATTTTATATGTTCTAACTTCAGTTTTTGTTAACAGACTTGGAATATATTTCATGCATCTTTATATTTAAACATGTGACGCTAAGAACCATTGACTATTTCCAATTCAACTCCAATAGTTGGCATGTAATTATTTTGTCAATTATAAAAGTTAAATGTTCCGGTGTGTTTAACCGCAGAAGGATCTGGCAGGTATACATCTAATACAATAAAAGGCGTTTCCTGTAATTGGCCGTTAGTGTGTATTTTTTAGGTAGGTGTTAGTTGGAAAGTAAGTGGATTGTCACAATTGTATTACAGGCAGTAGTTGTAAAATAAATGTATTGAAAATAAAATGTTTCAATAATTTTTATATTGCTTGGATTCTGTGTTCAAAACGTAACATGTATAGTGACAAGTAGGCCGGCCGTGAATTTTGGTGAAATCATTTCGGATTACTAAACCTGAAAGTGGCCACTCTAAAAAAGAGTCACCAATAGGCCTACTGCTAAAGTGGAAACAGTGCCCTTCTTTCAAAGAAATAAAAAGTGTTTGGGCAAGATAGCCGTTGACACTATGGGTACACCTAACATTAATTACCGTATATAATATCTCAACAATGTTGGATCCAGAAATTCGAAAGACAGGTGACCCAGAGAGGGACTTTTACAGTCTTAGGAACCAAAAGACCCATCTCAGCCCCAGCATGATTGGGGCTGAGTTAAGAAAATATGTGATTAGGACACCTCCATATGGCCAAAAAATTACTTAAGACTTACTTAAATTTGAATATGATTTTCTTTTTTTCTTCATTAAAAAATGTATGGGTCCTTCAATCCGCCGCTGCTCAAAACATTCTTTATCCAAAATAGACATAATCACCAAAAAAAAAAAAAAAAAAAAAAAAAAAAAAAAAGGAGTATAAAAATCCCACAAATTTATGCACCCTCGTCTTAGCAGTAAAAACCATCATCATTACATCACCATTATATTAGTCGAAATGAAGGTGCCAACAAATTTCTCATGATCTTTTACTTTTATCAGGGACGGGAGGCAACCATTGTGTTGATAATTTTCAAATGTAGACAAACAGCACGCACAGCTCTTGAAATGTGTGATGCCGCCACCACAATGGCAAAACGCAAACCGTTTCACTAACCTGCCAAAAGCCAGCTAATGTGATTTCACATATCACAAAGCTAAAGAGATGATAACCGTTCACATGTTGGTAAAAGAAACGAGACAGAAGGTAGGCTAATCAACGCATCTATCACTCATGTTATTATTTTTTATTTCCTTTATTTTATACCCACACACACATATATATACACACACACACACACACACACACACATACATAGACACATATGCATACACTTACAGTACATAATGTACTGTATATGTATATGTATATGTATATACATGTATGTATAATCATGTATGTACATGTACATGTATGTGTGTACATATACATGTATGTAAATGTATGTACATATATGTATATGTATATGTATATGTATATGTATGTATACCTCCTTCACTTATATAATAAAAATAAAAAGGCAAATTAACAGCATGAAATGCTTAATTAAATGAAATGAACCGCACAGATAGTTTATCAGCATAAATGAACCACAAAATCAAGATGATGAGCTGTATATATGCAATAAATAAAACCATAGAGAAAATAGCTATTTTCTCTATGATAAAACATAAAATAGTACTAACTAAACAAAGTTTACATGGTATATGAAAGACAATAGTCCAATTGCGGTAAAAACAATAAATAAATTAGTAATACACAATAATAATGTAATAAAAGATACTTTAAATATGAGTAAAAGTATGAGTTAAAAAAAGAGTAAATATAATCACATCAGTCTAAGGATTACACTTAATTTCTAGCCTTAATGCCCATGCCCTTTTTAAATAAGATTTACAGAATTCATCAAATATTGTGTGTGCTATAATTACTAAATTTCCAGAAATCATAGGTATGATCTCAGTACAGTCCCCACCTAACATAAGAAATAAACCAATGTCTTCGCTTGACCAAAATAGATTCCATAACTCTGACAGTCCTGAGTTATGAAGCTGTCTATGCAATTGTTTTTGTTCAACATGTCGAACTTCTTGAAGTTTATTACAAGTAAACAGAAAATGACGCATATCTTTAATGCCATCATCACAAAGTAAACATTTACCATCATGATTTTCGTCCCATTTGCTTATTCTATTTTCGAGCTGGAGTGTGTTTGAGCGGGCCTTAAATTTTAGTTGGGCCCCAAAGAAATCTGTCTTAACTAATAGATAATTTTCTAATTCAGGCACTTTCTTACATTTAACGTAGTCAGATAATGAAGATTTTGTACAAGTATTACTTAACCAGTCATCATTATACATTAGACGATTAATAAGTTACATTTAAATGACTTAAACCATGTTGAATCACGTGGGATATCAGTAGAGAACGCATGTTCAAATCCAGCGTTACTGAAAATGTTTTTGATAAAATTAAGTTATCTCCATCTTATGTGAACATCATTAATGGCAAACAACCAACTTAATAACAGTTTATAAGTTAATTAATTATCTTTTTTTCTTTTCTTGCTCTCATTTCTATTAATTGAGTCTTCAAATAATGTGTCTGGTCTGGTGTTCTTAGGTTCAAAACTGGATTGGAATTATTATAATTAGAATTTTGAATTCTGTGATTATATTAGTTTAAAACAGCTAATTACTGGTACCGGTCACTTTTCCAACTGTTTTGTTAAAGGTAGCTACGTCTTAAAGCTCTACTAGAACTTACTGTAGCCTCCTTCCATACAATGTACTTTTTTTCAATTTGCATGGAAAATAAATGCATATTTGATTTGATTTGATTTGAAACAGTTTAGGCCATCTGTTATCATCTAAATTAACAAGTCTGTCAAAGTATTTCAATTTGCTTACATTATGGATATTCTCAATTGTATCCCAACCTAGATCACCTAGTAAGGCAGATGACGACGTATTTCTTTGTGCTTTTAATTGATTTAGCCATTTGTAGTTGTAAGTTTTCCAATTTTTTGTAATCACTTGCACTATATGCAGATACTGCACATGCATAATTTATGGTTATTCTGACTATTACTAATAGATTTAATGTAACCGATTAGTCTGTTACCTTTCCTTGTAACCTCATTAACATGAACACATTCGGAAAAGTTCCTAGATATGTTAACACCCAGGTACTTATCAACTTCTGTAATATAGTGCTTACCTAAAGGCCAGTGTATATTTTTGTTTGTCCGTTTGCCAACCACAACTACATTTGACTTACTAAAGTTGAAGACGTTTCCGTTTATTAGAAAACTAACTGATAATATTAAGCATGTTTTGTAAATCAATTTCATCATTGCCAATGTCATCGACGTCATCAGCCCAAAAGAGGCAACTAATTTTCGTGCATAAGGTATAACAGCCTACATTTTCATTACGTAGCATCTTAGAAAGTTCATTAATAAAAATACAAAATAAAATGGGAGACAAGACGCAGCCTTGTTTTACACCTTTATTTACGAAAAAATCTGTAACATCGCCAAATTTAACATTGCATTAAACGTTTGTATATAGTTTATCAATTATATTCCACACCTTACCACGGATACCAGTATCCCAAGCAATTGACAGAAGGCCATTTCGCCAAACGGTATCAAAGGCTTTACGGAGATCCAAGAACGCCAAATAGGTTTGCTTGTTTTCTGCGCTGCTCGTAGCCAAAATGCTTTTAAGTGTGAATATGTGGTCTTCACATCTATGGTCTTTCCTAAAGCCGCCCTCGATTTCCGCGAGAATACGGTTATCTTCAAGAAACCCTGAGATACGGTCACATATAATACGGTTAAATATTTTTGCCACACATGATGATAGAGTAATCCCCCTATAATTATCGTATTTATTATATAAATTTGACTGTTAAATAACAATATCAGTAATGGTGTAGGATTTCTTACTATTACTAAGTTTATTCCAATATCGTTTTATTATGTCATTCATTACGTGCTTGTCTGAAGTTACCTGTTCTGAGTCAAGTAACTTTAAATTAGGAACAATTGTTTAGGTCCCCTTAATTCATCCCAGAGGTCTTTCGAACTTGTTCCCCCTACTTTTGCTATCGAAACACTTTTCTCAAGCCGAACCTGCATTATTTTATTATTTATTATATTCTTTGCTTCTGTTTTTTTAAGCTTATACATATCCCACAAAACGTTCCCCTTCTCTTGGTTTTTGTTATTATGTTTAGACCATACAAGCTTTACAAGCTCGTTTCCGCTCCTGAATATCAATATCATTTGTCTTATTACACCATTGTTTACAACTTTTCTTAACAACCTTACAGCCTATTGTATTATTAGCGACTTAAGAGTGTCTTTCCATTTTCCCCAAATTAGATTTGCATCACTCTTATAGTCTTCAATATTTGTAATCCAGTCATTAATATCAAAATTGTCTTTAATAGAATTCTAATATGCTGTCCAATCTTGGTCATGTTTAATGTTCCACACTTTATGTTTAATTGGAATGTTTTCCTTATCTTTTACACTAGACTCAAGTTTATAAGATGTGTAAATAATACATTGTGGTCACTACCCGAATGGTGATTTCTTTCGTCATCAACTATCATCTTACTGATATATTTGTCAATACTATTAGATGAGAGGACATTGTCAATACAGCTAGAATGTGGATGCCTAAGCCAAGTTAGTTTGCCATAGCATTTGTTTCAAGTTTAGACCTGAGTCTTCACTAAAGCTAAGCAAACGTTCACCATTAGTATTAATAATCGGGTCACCATCACGAATGTTATTGCCAATTCTACCATTAAAATCCCCTAAGATTAGATATGTGGGTCATTATATTGATATTCATTTTCAATTTGAATTATTTCAGAGAGTAACTGATTATATAACTCATCTACAAGTTCTGGGTTTGACCCCTCTATTGGAAAATAGACAACGCGATGTTGAGCAATGTGTTGGAAACGTTTACCCGAATCCAAATTCTTTCCAGATCATCACATCCATAATCCCATAGGTTCTCGTTGAAGACATCTATTTTACTTGATACGAGCAGGCTAATTCCCCTGCCTGCTCCTTTACCAACTCTATTTTTACTTAATCATTTAAAATATTTAATATTTATAATTACTTCTGACTTGAGAAATGTTTTTGCAATACCAAAATATTAATTTTACATTCAACTAAAATCTCCTAATGTCATACAATTTGTTTTTAACCCGGTTAACATTATTAAAAGCAATATTATTAAAAGCAATAATAACATCAATATTAGTTGAATTTTTGTTGTTTTGCTTATTACTGTTTCCACGTCTAACTCGTTTGCGTTTACAATAATTAACATTATTGCCAGCTTTTCCTATATCAGTTACATAACAAGAATACTCTCTAGTCTAAGTCAGCTACATAACAAGAATGCTCTCTATAAACTAAATAAGATACTTAAGGATATATCACACCCAATGCATCATACACTCACGCAATAAATCAGGCAGGCTACGCTCTCTCGGGTGCAACTCAGGGCATAGGAACTCCTTTATTCACAACCCAATAGTATTATGTAATAAAGCTTGTCATGGCCGGCGGAACCGCCTACCGCCCCCCATTTTTTGACAAAACATATATAGTGTCTGGATATTTTTGTATGATCGGAAAGAAATGCGAGAAAAGAAAGTGGGAAGAAGGAGGAGAAGGATGGGAAAGAGAATGTTTATCCAGTTCCCGACCGAGTTACATTTTCTCGCAATTCACATTGGCGGATCCGGGGGAGGGGTCATGGATCTTGACCCCTCCCTTGGGTAACAAAATAAAAAGAAAAAAGAATTCTAGACCTACCTTTTTATGACCCGTGAGCTGATTTTTTTTGTTTTTTGTTTTTTTTTGTTACAATCTGAGAAAATTAGAATTTTGAAGATCATTAAAGTCCTTAAAACACACTTAAATGTCGGGAAAGCTTATTTTGCGCCATCTAGGAATCAAGATTTTCCCGGGGGAGAACCTCCGGACCACCCTTTCTTTTTGGGATTTATCGATTCATGGAAAAAACGAATACGTATGCAACTACTCATTTGTTTATGTATGTATACACACATAAAATAAAAAATGAGAAAAATTTACCTGACCGTCTTCAAGGGTGGAAAACCTTGAATTTTGAAGAACTTAAATTAAAGTCATTAAAAGATACTTCAGA